CTTCCACCTTTCCTGAAGCTCAGGTGTCAGCCAGAGGAGCCATCACACCTGCTTTACATGGGTCTTCTGAGGAGGAGGCTCCAAGATGTACCTTTGCAGACCCTAGATCAAAATCAACCACTTGAGGCAGAGATGTGTGGATTCTGACCTTTGAGATCCTCAGAAACACTGGGGTGGTGACCAGTTCTGGAGACACCTGCATAGTCTTTGTTTTCATGGAATAGATACTGTGGCAGAGGGTCTGAAGTTGAAAGGTGAGGCAGCAGATTTGGCCTTGAGTAGTAAAGGATACTCACTGTGGAGACAACTTTAGAGGAGCTGGTGATAAGTTCAGGCAGCAGGGCCACCCCACTCTCCATGATGGCACCATGGAAGAGTCCTTGGGACATTGGTGACACCACAAGTGAGGACACACTAGTGCCACCTGCAGACACGCCAAAAATGGTGACCTGATCAGGGTTGCCTCCAAAGTGAACGATATTCTGCTGGACCCAGCGTAAGGCGGCCACTTGGTCCAGGTAGCCCCAGTTGCCAGTGGCATGCTGGTCTCCAGTGCTGAGAAATGGAAGGATGATGATCAATGGAAGGTTCTCTGTCTACTCAGCCCTCATTGACCATCCCTGTCCCAGGCTCACCTGAAGAAGCCCAGAACTCCCAGGCGGTACTGGATACTGACCACCAGTACATTTTCAATGGCTGCCAGAATAGAACAATCAAGCATGGAACCTGAGCCCATCACCAAGGCACCACCATGGATCCAGACCATCACCTGGGAAATCAGGAGATAGATATACCATGTGGTAGCCACCGTGCCCAATCCCATTGTGGCTGATCCCCTAGTCTGAACACCACTTTGGCTGTGTAGCTACCCACAAGAACTCTAGTAGGACTTTATGACCTATGGCACTCATCACAGAATAATTTCAATTTGGAAGATCAGGCCTCCCATACTTTGGGGTCAAATCACCAATTAGAACCCGCATCTATTTCTCTCAGAACTACTCTGAAAGGAAAAGAAAAGTGATGATTCTGTTATTACTCCACTTGAACATTAATTTAAATCTAATCTAATTAATTTAAATCTAATCTAACATTAATTTAAATCTAATCTAATCTCTGGCCCCCAAATTAATCCATGGTCATGGAATGTAGTGATTGCAAAATTGCAGATTTGGGCACCTGAATGAATCTCCTGGGTAGAAGCTGGTGAGTTGATCAGTGGGTCAGTACATTTGGCCTCTGAGAGCATCCAGGGCTCTTTGACTCCATGCCTAGGTCAGCTTCCTTCTTGGAGCTGATAGTGAGAAACTTTTCATGGTAGTCCACTCCACAGTGGTGGCCAGCTGAATCTGTGTCTTCCAGTGTCATTGTATTGTTATGTAGTACTTGGGGTCAATCCCAGGCCTTCATACCATTGTGCTAGCTCTCTACCTTGAACCATGTCCCAAGCCTGTTTCTAAATATCTTCTAAAAGAAAAGTTCTCCCACCCTTCCACTGACCATGACTTAACACTCACAGGCAGGTTAGAGCCCTCACGGGCATGTGCAGGCGCGTAGATGCTGAGGTACAGGCAGTCCTCTGACATGGGGTTGGGTCGCAAGTTTTTCCTCCCTAGGTTCAGAACCTCTATATTCATTGCATCTGCATTTTGCAGACACCTGGTGACAACAGAATACAGTTACTCCAGGGGCTGAGCAGTGGTCAATTCAGACCTCAGGTCCTAACTAGATCCCTCACTCCCTGCTTTAACTGATGGATTGCCTCACATGATCCTTCTTTCAAGTCATTCTCCATTGAGTTCCAGGCCACAGGCTCAGGGAAGCAGGGATTTTCCCAGACCTCCAGGGAAACACTGGCTGCATGTATTGAAATTCATTTCTTATCCCTGTCCCCATTCAGGCCTGGAACAGCACAGGTGTCCCCACACAGGTGGTGCCTGAGTGGATGGAGGTTAGTTCTCACGGAAGGGTAATGGGGCATCCCACAGCCCAACTCGAGACTCTCAGAAAACCTCACCCCTCTACTGAGTCTCGAGCTGTAAGCACATGCCCCTTTCCCTTGGCCCTGTGGGTGGGGTCCCCAAAGAGCCACCACTGTTGCCCTCCTCAGGGATCTGCACCATCGACTGCTGGAGTCAAGGTCTTTTATAGGTTCAGAGAGCCACGCCGACCCTCTTCCAGACACATCTCCCCTGGTGGGAGAGAACCCCTGGAGTAAGCCAAATCCAGGGACATGTGTTTCTGCTCTTGTATTCAGCATCTGGAGCTAATGCCTGTTGGGTTCCAAGCCCTGAGGCAGGGGCCTGGCAGGTTTACTCTTGCATTAGAAAAATGAATGTGGGAAT